GTCTGCCCTTGCTTTCACGGAGGGAGGGAGGGAACGGGGGCCTGACGATATGTACCCAGAACCACCCGCGACAATGTTTTAGCCCCATCAGGCATTGGGATCTCAACCCAGAATTCCAATGGGCAGCGGAGACTGCGGGAACTGTGGGATAGCTACCCACAGAGCAACGCTCCAGAAGTTGACTCTAGCCTCGGTACTGTGGAAGCACTCCGCCGAGTTAATGCACTTAATGCACTTAGAGCATTTTCTGTGAGGACACACACACTCAAATATATAAAACTGATTTCTAAAAAAACAACTTCTATAAATTTGACCTAATTTCGTAGTGTAGACAACCCTAAGGTGCCACTAGTACTCCTTTTCTTTTTAGGAAACGGAAGGAGTTTGGCCAAACTGGACAGTCTCTACGTAAAAGAATAAATGGACACAAATCAGACGTCAAGAATTGTAACATTCAAAAACCAGTCGGAGAACACTTCAATCTCTTTGGTCACTCGATTACAGATCTAAAAGTGGCAATTCTTCAACAAAAAAACTTCAAAAACAGACTCCAATAAGAGACTGCTGAATTGGAATTAATTTGCAAACTGGATACAATTAACTTAGGCTCGAATAAAGACTGGGAGCAGATGTGTCATTACACAAAGTAAAACTATTTCTCCTTGTTTATTTCCTCTCCTACTGTTCTTGTAAAGTGCTGGAAATGGCCCACCTTGATTATCACTACAAAAGGTCCCCCCCACTCTCCTGCTGGTAATAGCTCACCTTTCCTGGTCACTCTTTTTACAGTCTGTATGGTAACACCCATTGTTTCAAGTTATCTGTGTATATAAAATCTGCCCACTATATTTTCCACTGCATGCATCTGATGAAGTGAGCTGTAGCTCACGAAAGCTTATGCTCTAATAAATTTGTTAGTCTCTAAGGTGCCACAAGTTCTCCTTTTCTTGTTACCAGAGAGCACCTCATGAGCCGGTGCAGTTTCCGACACTACACCGGCCCTCACAAGCCTCCTCTGTTATGCGGGAGGTACAAGTTAAGATAAGTGTCTGTCAGTCCACCTGACTGGATTCACTTCTCAGTGAAGAGCTGTTGTGGATAGTACTTTTCCCCATAGAGTAAGCAGTTAGTGTTAAGGGGGCACTGTGCCACCTTTCATATGAGGCTTCGTACAAAATGTTGACTGCCTAAAATTCCCCCTGCAATTTCAGTTAGATACAGTATTCTTCACTTCCTCTAACTCATGTAAACTGAAGCTGTCATACTTCAGCTCAGGAAAGACAACAGTGGATGAAGGGATTCCTGTGTTTGTGTGTATTTTTATATATGTAAGATACAAACACACAGGGATTATAGGTGGCACAGGTGCTGCCTGACACCTATAAAACCCTATTTTCCTTTGCTTAGAGCTTTGCCAAACTTCAGCCATTCAGGCTACAGTTCATTTCCCATGTAAGGCGTCTGCCTGGGGTGAATTTTTTGTTTTTGTCTTTTTTGAAAGTTTTGGCAAAAATGGTTCAGCCATTTCCAAAAACGAGATAGGGAAAAAATAGGTTGTTTTCCCCTCATTAAAATAAATTTTACAACCGTTTTGTTGAGAAGCTCCAATTCCTTCATGCTTTGGAGCAAGGGCTTGAAATTTAGCAGAGGGGTTGCCCTGGGGTCAGAAACAAAGCACCACATTTGGCTAAGTTATAAGTCTTTGAAAAAAATCTCTGATTGCACAGACTTGGTAGAGTCTGGCAACTAACACATCCAAAGAGTCCATCTGCAATGGGCATGGTCCTAGGGCCTATGTGGATGAGTAGGACTTTCTGTCCTCTCTCTGTTCCCAACAGCAAAGGATCAATGTGGTGCCAGATACCAGAACTGAGAGCAGGGCAACTGTCACTCCTGTGCTCTCAGTGTTCACCCTGCTAGTGTCCAGGCAGCATGAAAGAGGGAAAAATAATACCTAGCTTTTATATAGCACTTTTCATAACATGAGATCATGTAATCAAAGACTATCATAAAGCATATTCACAAGGAGGCTGAATTAAGATTGCACAGGCAACCTTAACTCTGGCATTTCCTAACTTCTGAGCACTTGACTTTGCAATCTCAACGTTTTAACTTTTTTATGTAATATATATTGTACATACACACAGAATGTCATTTAATCTTTGAAGCCAGGTTGGTAACCTTGGGACTACCTTATCACTGCATCCAGAAGCATCAGTGGTTCCACTGGTAGGATAAAAAACATTAAAAGGCAGTTGATACCCTACCAGGAAAGTCTTGAAAAACATTTAGAACTAATTCTACATCAACTTCACTATTAGTTTTTCTTCCCACTCTGGTTTACTACAATAGAGACATTTGCTTGAAAGCAAGTCTTTCACTTTTAATGGTTTATCTGCTCCTGCTGTTTTCTCCCCAGCTGAAGTCATAATTCTATTTGTGACGTTTTAGTCATTTGTACTGCAGCAATTTGGATTTGAGAGACGATTATGATGACACTTCACTTGAGGAATAAGCAACAGGATCAGAGAAACACTTAAGCATAAAGTATTGTTTTCATGCCCAAGTTCTTAGTCATGAAAAACACAGGGAGGAGGAGGACAGAAAACATTATACAATAGGTAGAATAGTTTATATATAAAAATAGTAGTTACAATTTTCCATGAAGCATCAGATGATCTTTAAGGATAGGTCAATTGTAGATGCCTTGGTTCATGTGGGATTTATTATGTAGGATTTATTAAACATACATTATAACTGATGCAGAATATAAGGGGCATTTATTTGTCTGATAGGGAGTTTCTTAAATTTCAAACAAGCCAGCTTGCAGTATTTAAAACACTCTTCATAAGTGCGCAGCAAGTTTGTACATCCCACTTCCCAAAAACCTAGTCAAAGGCATTGTACTCGTCATGAAAAATTAAAACAAGTCTGGAGTTTCTAGATCAAACCATTTTCCAGTTATGACATTCCAAGTGTCGGGGAGTTTGGTTTTGGTTTCGAAAAGTTAGAGGGTGGGTTAAAATCAAGTTGATAATGGAAGGCATATTTCAGCTTTAACTATGGTAAAGACATAACTTATGATAAAACTATCTATCCATAATATCAAGTGGAGCGAATATTTTTTTTCAGACATCAAAATATGTTCATACTCCATTACTTCCCATCTCAAAAGACAGAGGTTATAAAATATACAGTCAAAGCAATCATCCCCAAAGTTGCACAGAAATCGTTTAACAGCCCAAATGTCTATAGACAAATATTCTTTACAATTGGCTGGTTTCTGCTTAAGCGTTCATAGTTCCAGGGATGGTCCTTGTATCAGGGTATAGAAACTGAACCAAGTTCTCAGTCATTCGCGTCAGGCATTAACGTAGCTGCTATTACTCACTTGAGAGTTTTGGAAATCTGGTAGGCCATTACTGTTGTCACAGCTAATACAGACCAAATTCCCACTCTTTCCCCCCCACCTATACACAGACTCTAGTAACAGATGGGTAGGGGGGCAGAGTGGAATAGCTTGACAAAAAGCCAGCTGCAATAACTGATCCAGATCACTGTCAATGAGCAAAGAGATGTGAGTAAAACATGTAAAGAATAGTCTTCTATAGGCAAGCAAGTGGTATGGTGGCTTGGGATGAAATGTGATGCAAAGGCCAGAAAAGTGAAACCCTATAATTTGCCCAGCAACATCATGGAGAACGGGGACATTAAAAGGACACTATCAAGTTGTTATAGCCAAAAATAACACAGAGGGCCTAATTCTGCCCTCATTTACATGTATATAGCCTCATTTCAAATTTGGCCCAGAATACTTTAAAAGTTACATAGTCTATTATATTTTCTTTTTTCATTTGTGTTTCTTTTTTAATTCAGTGGGCTTGATTTATCCCTGCAGGAGTAGGAAAGTGCAATTTGCATCCCAACGCTTGGAGCATTATCATTGCTTCAGTCAAAGGAGACCAGTTTTAAACTCCCTTTTGAGAGGCAGAGCTTGACGCAAATCTTACTGAAGTCAACAGGAGCTGTCTTTCCAGTTCTTTCAGGCCCTCCATTAGTGTATCTCCCTGATGCCCTTGCCTCCCCAATCTCTGGCCAGCCCTGTCCCTTTGTACATGTTATTATGGCTGGCAAAACAGCGGGAGGAGGGGGGCTTGTAGTGCTGTGACCGCCTTCCATACACCAAGCAGTCTTTCTGACATTGGGGGTTAGGTTCCGCCAGCTGAGCAAAGTGGACCAAATTATTCTAAAAAACTGAAACAGGCAAATTATATTTATTGTAGATCTTACACAAACAAAGGTGCACACCAGCAAAATTTGATGTTTCTATTGAACCATGTGCACCCTACTTTGTTAATTTGTTTGAAGTACAAGGATCTATGCTACAGCATTTAATTTCCAAGAGAAACACTTGAACGAATGAATTTGACAGTCTCATTCCAGTTCCCAGTGGACAAGTTTTCAGCAAAATAGAAACCACTATCCCATTTGTTCTAATTTACATTCTTGGTGGCTGTTTCAAGAAAGGCCCTGAAGTCTAAATAGGCATTGGTGATTGAACTGTCAACTCATCCTTAAAAGTGGCCCCTCTCATTCAGAGTTGAGACACATGGGAAGGAAGAATTTTGAAGGAACTTTCACTCTACAGTGATGAGATTCTATGTGATAAGGGGCAATAAGAACCTGAACAGAACAGAAATCTGAGCCAAAATCTGTTCACCCATTTACTTCAATGGGACTTGCTGGGTGAGTGAAGAGGACACAATTTATCTTCAAGTGGGTACAGAAAGGGCTTCAGTCTGTGGCCTCTTCAGGTATTTCTATACTCCATCTGGGAGCAGGATGGATAAAACTTGGGGGAGGGGGGGCAGGGTTGTCAAAAAAGTTGAATTGTATTTAAATTGGATTTTTTATTATTTAAATTATGATAAGTTTTTCTGTTAAAAATAAACTCAGATTTCATTTTAAATGAGTTTAACACAAAATATGGTAAGGCCTAAACTTATTATAATCTCTTAAAACATTTAAATAAAATAAATATGCTGAATCCATGAGCCACTATATAAAAAAAAAAGAGTTAAAGGCTGCTTTTCTATATAAAGAAAGAATCAGAGAAAAAAATATCTAATTTGTGAGGTCAAGCTTTACAATTATGGCACAATAGATTATGTACTGTATTAAGGACTTGTTTTGTTTAATAAAAATAAATTAATATGCTGTTTTGTGGTAAATTCCAGTTACCATCCTAATGCATCTTGACATAAATCATGAGCAAAAATTATCTATTATCTACTAAATAAGCAAAATAACACACTAAAAATGTACAATTAATAAGACTCTGACCATATTAAGGTATATAATTGCTTAAATAAATGTATATGTTTATAGCATACCCTCCTAGGTAGCAAAAAGATGTACCAAATTTTGTGTAAAGGCTCTATTTAGTTGCAAGTCAACATGTTTTAATGGTTACAATCAATCAATGAGAATGCACCTCTCTTTAGAAAATAAAAGTACAAATGGAAAAGTTGATTAAAATCAATGATTTAAAATCAAGGCTCTCCACTTGATTTAAATCATGATCCAGCCTGGGTAGACAGACTTGCACTGTGTGGCCAGCGTGGGATTTGTATACTCCATCACAAGCCAATCCCCTGAAACAAGTCTACCTAGAACAAGAAGAAGAAAAATTAATAAAATCTAAAAAATGAAAACACAAACCCTACTGCTAGCAGGGTTTTTACCCCAAGAAGGGAGAAATGCCAGACACTCCATGAAGTCTACTCTTGCTCTTGATTTTATGCAAAAGATGCTTCAGATACTGCCTCCTCTGAAGCCAGGAGCCGAGCTTGACATTGTAATTTAACACTGGATACGTCTACACTGCCAAAAAAAACACCCAAAAATCTGAGAGTGAGACTCACAGCCTGGACTCTGGCCCAAGCAGGAACGTCTACGCTTATTTTCAGCCACGTTATGGAAGCCCAGGTCAATTGACCAGGGTTCTGAGACTCACTTGCAGATTTTGGGGCTTTGGGTGGTTTTGTGCACTGTAGATGTACCCAGTGTTAAATTACACCAAGCTCTGCTACTGGTATCAGAGGAGGCAGAATTAGCAGTTGTATGTGTAACAAATAGCCTAAGGATGTGTGAACATGTCTCCTAGTGGTTGGCCCCAAAGAGAATAAGAGCTTGCTACTTACAGCTGAAGGAGTTTAGCTAAAGAGGTAGAGGCCTGTGCTTTTCATGCTGAAGTGTGGGTTCTAGCTCTGCTCCTGACCTGTAGTGAATTATTAAATATGCACAGCATGGTACAGCAGAAATGCAGCTCTTTGCTAATGCTTGCTGAATGAATAGGACTACAACCCTAAGCACTACACAGGGACGCTTGAGAGTTAAAAGGGTGCTATCAGCTTTGCTAGTCCCCAACTATCACCTCCTTTAAAAGTACTAGGCTAAAGTGGTCCAAGAGCAGGGCTTAATGAGCTGCTGTGAGCAAAATCAGCCCAACTCTACTACACCTGCAATAGGTGTCAGGCTTGTGGGAGGGGTTACCAGGAGGAGAGCCCAGCACAGATGGATGCTGGCTGGGTGGGAGACCTCAAGCTCTCACTTCACGAGAGAAGCCTGGCTGGGATCAAGAATGACTGGAGAGACTGCTATCTGCCAGAGCCACCCTCATGGAAGAGAGGCTTGATGCCGGACAATTGTGTCAATTTGCCTTCTTGTTGCTGGGACAGACTGCTGCAGGTAGTATCCCTGAGAGGGGTGATAGCCAAATAAAATCCTTTGTCTTATGCACCCACCCAAGCAGGGTCCCAGCAGTGACCACAAGCCCAGCAGTGATTCTATTACAAAGGGATTTTCTTGGTTGGAGTTTGTCCCCTAAAAATTATTAGGAACTTAATATATTAATAATTATTATAAATTAATGGTATACCAATTTGTACTCTTGGTGCTCCTGTTTCATGCTGTCTGCAGACATCTCTTCTCTGTTTAAGTCTGGCTCATGTTGAAGCTTTTCTTCACAACCCAAAGGGCTAAAACCTTAACTTTAACACACACACAAAGAGAGAGAGAGTTTAAATTTTTGAACATAAAATACCAGCCTCCAGAAAAAACTACCAGCTCACCAAGCCACCCTGCACTGGCCCAATTCAATCCCTGCTCTTAGGAAGATCCACAGATTCAGGAGAGTTATTTTTCTTAAACTGGTGGGGTCACTGCTGCCCTGATAGCCCCAACTGGTCTTAGAATGGGTAAAGAATTCAAAGACCCTCAATGGTTTTCTTCAATGCACGTCTTTAACTGCTTCTCTTATTGAAGAGCACACCATAGAATCATAGGCTTAGAAGGGACCGCAAGGGTCATCTAGTCTAACCCCCTGCCAAGATCCAGGATTTGTTGCGGCTAACCATCCAAGATATGTTTAACGTTACCTCTGAAACCAGTCCTGCATCCAGATTAGCAATACTTACATGTATTGGTACAGACATGCTCCATAAAAGCCATTTTTAATATAGAGAAAGGTATCTTCTCTACATGTAAAGCTGAACTACAGTAGCAAGTCAATAGTTATGATTATAATGGTTATTTTATTTTAAAGTCCTCTTTTTCAGTCACAGATTACTTTGGCTGAACTTTTTTTATACTTGGTGTCAAGCCAAAATGGCAGTTGTGCATGCAAAACTCTTAATAACACTGATTCAGAAGCCTGGAGTTAACACAAGATGCTGTTCTGAGGACATCCCCACTATGGTCCAGACTAGGGCTCTGGAACAGCTTAGGAACTGCCCAGAAAACAGTGCTTCCAGATTTTAAACTAAACCCAGTCCATGCTGGGAGAGGACATGGAGTCTAATCAGTGATGCAGGAATACTAATATAGTGCAAACATGATCAATAAAGTCTAAAGTCTCAGTTCTTTAAGTTAAGGAGCTTCCATGAATGCAAAAAAACCCAAAACTTATTTTTTACTCAAAGATTGTTCTCTGAGTGGGTTTGGGATTTAAAAAACACACTTGGGCAACTCATTTGTTCTAAAGCTTCAGATTTAGAATGGACTATATCTGATCTTAAGTGAAGAAATCTGGTTATGAAATTAAGTTAATTTGCTTTCAAAGACAAAATTAGCTGCAAACTTAAGAATGGAGTGGCTAGCTACTGCTACATGATATATGACAGTTAGGTACAGGGCATAAATTTCCCTTTTACCTGGAAAACAGTTATCTGATTAGTTTCATCTACATGGGATTCCACATGACTTTACAGAAGAAAGAGCTAGCATTCTCTTCCAGAACTACAGATCATCGTAGCTAGCTTACAAGTGCCCCCTGTACCCACTGAAAAGAGTTTGTCTTTTATCTCTAGGTGAGTAGTGGCACTGTTCAAAACAATAACCCTCTAACCTACTTGTCACCTGACCATTGGGCTAAACATTTTTAAATTAATGGTATCCCAAACGACAAGAATGATATTTCAAATGTATTCTTCCTGCAATTCACTTATACATAATGGAAGTCACAGGAAGCCTCAATTAAAGTGCCAATAGCTGGATCCCTGAAGGCACGGCTGCACAGAGGTTTCTGGGGGCGTGGAGCAAAATCTGAAACTGAGGCTGTGACACTGGCAGATCAGGGGCCAGCTCATGCCAAAACTCTTGAACACTGACAAATACATAGCTAGAGCCAGTCTGGCTCACCTGTGTGTTAGTACTGTTAAAATAGGCATCAGTTATAAATAGTTATAAAAATGTGTTTAGACTTTAAGGCATGCAGCAATTTACAAGCATTTCATCATCTCACTTATACCTGTATCCCATGTTTTAAGGTAATATTTAAGTGTTTGCTCTGTAACTGTAAATCAGACATGAGAGAAGCATTAACAAGTGTGAAATTCTAGTTTCCAACAAGAGGTATTCTCTATACCAACAAAAGAAGGCCCATTAACACCAGACGAACCATTGTGGAACATCAGAAGACAGATTGTGTCCCCTCCTCACGTCACCCTCCATGAAGAAGAGATATGCAACTGAATTCCTCCCAACAGCTGAATTGGCAACTGGAAGCAGAAGGGGGCAGGGCAGAGAGAAATAAAAAGCCCTAACAAGGAGGAACTGTATCTTTTATGCTACTTGGGCTTTAAGGGGCAAGAATTACTAAGCATAAGCAAAAGATCCCCAGTGCTTGGCCTGCCTTAGCCCTAAAGGACATATAGAGCTTGCTTATCAGAGAAGCTTCTATTACTTAGATAGAAACTCATTTGTTCATATATATGTTTACTTGCTTTAACGTTATAAATAACTCATTTCCTTTTCTGAGTTAATAAAATCTTTAGATAGTTTATTACAGGATTGGCCACAGCCATTGTCTTTGGTGTGAAATCTTAGGTGTAATTGACCTAAGGTAAGTGACTGGTCCTTTGGTACTGGGAGTAACCTGAATACTGTTGTGATTTTTGGTATAAGGGATCATCTGTCACAAAGGCAAGCCTACCTGGGTGGCAAGATAGTCCCCTTGGGTACTCTGGTCTATCTATGACTCCACATTAAGACTGTTGTAGTTCTTGACGAGTTTACACTTGATAATTGGTTGGTGAAATCTAAGTCTACACCTCACAGCTACTTTGGGGTCTGTGCCCTGCCTCTTAACAGTCTGCCCTGAGTTTGGTACTCAGGTTCTTGAGCCACTGTAGGAGAGCTTAACAGAGGCTACCTCTGCCCCCTTTCCAGAAAAGTCACCCTGGAGATGAAAGAATATAAAAAGAATGCTATTGAAAACTTTAAAGCTGATTTATTATCACAAAAGAAATCACACCACGTTATCTTTACAAAAACAAAAAGAGAGCATCAAATGAGTTATAATTTAGGCTCCTTGCAAGATCGTACTCTATCGACAGCATCACGAAGGCCAATACACACTGTTTACCCATGGTAGATTGGAGGCTTTAAAAAAAAAAAAAAAAGCAGCAGCAGCAAGGCTAATTTGCTAAAGGATCACTCCTCTTGGGAAACCAAAATCAGCATAGAGACAAAAATCCTTAGAGCAATGCAGATCTGTGGGGAAATATTCTGCAGTCCTTTGTAGTAAGTCTTGTTTAACAACTTAATTAAAATCACTTTTTCAAATAGTCACTCTCTCAGCTTATTTTAAAAGGTGAGTTTCTTCAACAGAATCATCTTCCATCAAATCTATTGGGTAGCATTTTGATAGTTTGAACTTTTGAGATACTGTACTTGGCATCATTTGTTGTCAGGCTCCAAATAAGTGAAGATATGCTGCTGATTTTTTCAGTTGTTTCAGATCTTCTTGTAATTTTGCATATAAGCACATCTAGAGCAACGTAAAAAACATCAACTTTGAACTCAGTTTCTTGATTTTCCTGGCCACATGCAGTGGTCCTGTCTTCATCATGGAATGTTTTCCTCTTTTCTTTCTGAAATCTTGCTCAAGGCCCAGACCAGCTGCTACAAATTTTGACTTGTCAAAAAACAGAGGCCAAGATTCTCAAAGGCCCTCCAGTGCACTTAGAAGTGATTTCATCAGCCTTGATTCATCATCAAGTGTAAGCTCAGAGTCTTGAAGTAAACGACTTTCAACAATGGCTTGTAGGGTCTTAAACCAGAAAGTGTCCAGTAAAATGATTTTTAAAAATGTTAACTGTTTAAATGAATAGTCCACTTTGTTGCATAAGTCTGCAGGCAAGCTGAGTTCTTCCTTCAGTTCCACCAAAGTTTGTGGAATTCCCTTGGTCTCTTCACTAGTGGTTTCACTGCTTGTGATTCTTGCACTCCACCATATCTGCAACATACAATGCTACTAAATGTCTGCAGCTTGTTGAATTTTCCATCTGCTACGACTGGAACTGAGAAGTCCACTGACAGACTGGTCAGGGAGACAAATCATTTTGTACCTTTGCTTATTTCTACCAAAATATAAACCCTCTTTAGTCTTATTCCCTGTGTGTGAGTTATTTATATTTACAATTGTAGCCCACCCACTTAATAAAACTCAATATGAGTTTATTTAAGCTGGAGTGCCTTCAATGCTGCAGCAAGACCTCTCATGTTTACATGGAGTCTGTCACAATATTATAAGCATTTTCCCCATTTTCAGCATTATATTGTCTTTTGAATTCATATATGTACATTTGGGTTGTACACAGTGGATATGTTTCATCCAATAATCATATTGTTCCATGGATTTGCCCTTTTGCCCCACCCTCTGGGCAGCACTTGTGTGAAGGTACAGGGGAAAACTGGTTCAACTGTAGTTGGGCTTATTCATTTAATTTTAAAAGCTAAGCAGGGCTGGACCTGGCCACTAGCTGACACAGACTGCAGAGAGGAAAACAATCATGTGAAAAGAGTATACTAGGCTGTTGCTTAAAAGCCTAAGATAGGACTATAAAACCTACCAACAAACAAAGCAGATTCTTCTCCACACCACACCAATAATAACCCCCCTCCTTTGGATGAAGGAGTTTAATTTCTTGCTAGAATGGATTCCTCACAAATAAAGATTAATCCTTCACTTGATGTTTACTCACTAGAGCAGCTTTCTGAATTATGGGATCTGTGTCTGCACATTGAAATATATATTCAGATGCCATTAGTCAAATAACCATATATGGTCACAAATACAAGTCACCATAGAGGAGCAAAATGGTCCATCTAGCCTGGCATCTTGTCTCCTAAAGTGAGCAAATCCTGAGGCTTCAGAAGAAAGCATAAAAGCTTAATTGTGCATTATTATACCATGGTGGAAACATTTCTTCCTGACTCCATCTGGTGGTCTGCTTTTGCTGTGAAGCAGTGATAGCCATACATATTTCACTCCAACTAGCATAGCAGTAGATGCCATTGCTATCCAAATACGAATAGCTAGTCTTGGGGGCTAAAGCCCTGATCCATCACAGAATGTAAGCATGAAATAACATTAAGAGACCAGAGTAGCTGCATTGAGATAAGTGGGGTTACTCACATCATTAAAATTATGCATGTGCTTAGGTGATCTGGTGGACTGAGGTCTACAATTATTTGCATCAATAGTGCCCCATGATAATATAGCTCCAAAAGATCTGTTGAATTAAAAAAAATGTTTCCTTTACACCCATTTATCATCATGGGAAGCAAATAAAAGGAGTTTCTACAGGGGGCTGGCTGAGTTCCTGGTTGAATGATTTCAGGGTTGCTAGGTTTTCATTATATTGTATAAGTATTAGGGAGCCCAGAGCCTCAGATAGGCACTCTTTAATAATTATAAATCTAAATAAGCTTCCTCTGACCACATCTTTTTGATTTTCTCCGCTGGCTTCCCGTAGAATTCTATGCAGCTTACATGCTTCTCAGACTTTGAAAGTTCTTCATAATACTGCCCCCACCTTCAGCATACCTCTAATCTCACTGGCTCCCACACAAGCTTCTACTTCCCATTTTCCAGACTTCCCTCTGTCTTTTTTGTCTGTTGTTTTTCAGATCATATACTGAGAGTGAATGAATCTTTCATACCAAAACAAAAACCAAGAAAGAACAAGAGTAAAGGCTCCATAAGAGAAACCAGTGTCCATCTCTGTTGTTCTATGTTGCGGCAATTCTAAGTCACAACATGGCAACTGCCCAGGCAGATAACTAGAAATTTAAAGGAGCAGTACACAGAAAACTAGTCTAACAATTAAGAAGCTAGACACACCTGTCTCTATCTGCTCCTTACTTCGTTCCCCCTTTCATGGTACCCTCATGCATTGGAGAGCTTCCCAATGAAAATTCTAGAGCCCACTCTCCACCTTCAGAAACCTGTTCCGTGAGGCACACTGACCAGTCTGTGTGGGTTCTGAGTTCTATTCAGGATGAGAAAAGAAAAAGAAGAGCTCAAAAGTTGATTTTTTTTCTTATTTCATTTTGAATTTTCAAAAATGATCTGTTTTGGGGACATGGGGGGTGGGGGGGGAAGAGACCCACACACAGGTTGCATAACAGCCCAAAAGTAAATCATGAAAAACGTCATACCAAGTCACTTCATCATTTGTGCACACTTCTGGAAATGCTGTTGCCATGCCTCATGAAAATTCAGTTTCCTGGTGTCCTCATTCTCTTCTATGAGCCATGCTGACCAGATGGACTATGTCTCTCCTGATGTGCAGCCTACAGAGGAGAATGGGAGCATGAACTATCCAGACTGCGGCTCCCATGAAGCATCACAGCAGCATTTCACATTTTGGCTGAAGCTTTTTTGTTTGTTTTCAGATTTCCACCAAAAGAAAAAAAAATCCCAAATTTAAACAAACATTTTTAAAGCCAGGTCTAGTCAGCATTTTATAGGATTGGCCTTGATCCTGCATGGATGGATCCTCATGCCCATGCCAAGTGCCAGTGAACACAATGAGGCTCCAGCCAGGCATAAAGGTTTGCCCACATGGATCCAATTGCAGAATGAGGGTCTTAAATGGTCAGCTCTTCAGCTCAGGAACAAAGCAGTCATTTGTTTGACACAGAGCATCTAGAGTGCTGCAGTACATAAACAATAACATCCATTTATCATCTCAGTTTTGTTGAGCCTCCTTGCTCTTGCATGATGGGAACTATTCTATATACCTCTGTCATATTCTAGTATGATCTTTTATCCCCAAATAAAATACAATTTTCTTAATTTCTCCTCATATGAAAGTTCTCCTTGCCCCCAACTACACACATGAACAGTATATTGCACTGAATCGCTTGTTTATTTTCTCTTTCTCGTGTGTCATTTTGACCAGAGGTAACAAAACCTTAATTCAGTATTCAGGGTGAGGATGCTCCACCAGTTGACACAATTGCATTATACTTTCCCCCTCTCCTTTATCTTGTTCTGTGTCCTTTATAAAATCAGGTACGTTTTATAGAGAAAATGAGTACATGGCTATTAGTCAATTTACACTCAGTTGTTACCTAGGAAGAAAAATCAATTACATCTTGTCAGGTAATTAATCCATTTTATACCCCATGGTCTGGTAGCCTCTGGAAGCTCTCAGCCATTTCATACAGCGTACTCCATCTGTCATCCTTCCTGATCCCCCACAAGGTCATAGCACAGAGTATGCCATTTAGATCCTACAGCCAGTTACCTTAGCCGTTCTTTCCTGGGGACTTGGATAGATTTCCAGTTCCTAATTAGAAAGTATTTTCTTGTGGGGAATGATAACTCAACCAACTCTAAGTCATTTTTAATAGCTTTTACCTATTCCTTTAATTTCCATCCAATCAAGTCCAAAGTCAAAGTTTTTTGGAACCTATATACCAGGAAGTTATGTAGCTACCAGTATTTTAAATATGAAAGACTAGAACTATCTCTCAGCTCCATAACATAGGCATCCAGTTTCAGTCTCTTTTCTACTCCTGAAGACCTTCTCACTAGACTTTACTAAGAATAGGGGCAACATATACATTCTTTGTAGAGATTTGTTAGTTTACAAGTTTGATTCATCTACTAGTTCCTTCCAAAACAGTTTACTGCTTCCAAATAAGTCTGAGGCTTGGTCTACACTATATACTTACTTCGATATCACTATACTGACCTTAACACACTGTGTAGACAGCGTTATGTTGGTGGGAGAGCTTCTCCCGCCAACATAGTTACCACCCCTTGTGGAGGTGGACTTATTAAGCTAATGGGAGAGTCTCTCCCATCAGTTTAAACCATCTTCACCAGACGTGCTACAGCGGCACAGCTGTGCCAATATACATTTGTAGTGTAGACCTGAGTCTTTCTCCCCCCAACCTGATTATTTCACAGCTTTTGATAGGCAAGAGGGAGCTGGGCAGGGCACATCCCATGTACAATTTTTTAAGTAAGTTTTACAGTTTCATAGACACAGAACCCAACCTTGCAATCTCATCCTCATGGGCACACTCTGGCCACTGGAGCCTGACATTGTTTGTTTTAATTCCCTCTTACATTCTCCCACACCCCAACAAATAAGCCAAAACACCCACATGTAGCCTCTTCATATGTTGATATTGTTGATAAAGAACCACCTACTTTCCCACATTAACCCTCTCTGCTCTGACCCCTTTTCCTTCAGCATAGTACTCCTGAAAGGCCTCAAATGAAAAACACTCAAGGTATTTTAAGTGACTGGAAAGCTCCCACAACCAGACTTTTTTGTTCTAACAGGAGAAAATTTGAGAGTTGTGTTGTATAAATTTAGATGGAATAACTGAGCTAAAGGTGTTAACATAACCCAGTCACTGTCCAACATCAAACTGGAAACAAAGACTGGGGACTGGCATACAGAGACCTCAGCCTGCTTAGCACCATGGCAAATACACCATTAAACATCATTTAACCTTTTCTGAAAGATACAGAGGAAAATGAAAAACAGCCTAAGCATTCGAAATGTAAAGTGTTAAATAGGGCTTTGATTTTAAACAGCAGCCCTTGTTCCCTTTATCTTTAGCTGCAGACAGTTTTTTAGAAGGAAAAACTCCCTGTTTGACAGTCTTCTAGATTGCATTAAAGATGGTAATAATGGTCCTTTTGAGGAAGAGAGAAATTAGTTGAAATGGGCTGGAGTCATTGCTGCTGCTAAAGTCCAATCTTAGAAGGAAAAGCCCCCTTATCTGACAGTCTTTTAGTATTAAAGGTAATAATAACTGCTCATCCCTGGTGGTGTTTGGGATTGAGCTGGGGCCAGCAGGGTGGTGATGTCATCTGGGTCCCTCTCTCAGGTCAGGACATCCCGCAGTACAAAGGCAAAGAAGAGGGGGGCCCAGGAGACAGTGCGGGTGGCAGCCAAGATGGTGAAGCTCACTCCAGTAGTCTCCATCTGTTCTTTCACTCTGTTCTTTTTGTTCTTTCCCCACAAAAACATTTATTTTAAGGAACTAAAAAGGGGGTGATGGGTGGAATAGCCCATCCCTCATTATTTTGTTCAACAATTAAGCCCAGTATAAGCTCATTAACTTCTGGCTCCACATTTCTTGCTTTTAGCAAGTAGAATCTCAACACAGTCCTTGAATCATATCAACTTGGTCTTTTTTGTTTAGACTAATCTAGTTATTCTGTCTCCCTATCAGACCTTTTCCCATCAACATTTGTTATTATAGGTTATTGTAAGATCTTATGAACTTTTACATAGTTTTTACAGTTGAGCTCATAATTTGGATAAATATGTAGGTCCAGTTGTCAAAACAGTGGCCTGCATACTTCATAAAACCTTGCACCTCCCTTTTTCTTCAGACACAGAGCACTCAGATACAGGAGATTCAACAACATAAATCTCCAGCCAACAGAAGGGGAGGCTGTCCTGTGTCCAACATTAGATATTGTTATGGCAGGAGTAACTAGATATCACTCTTCCACATAATCTTACAAATTTGTTTTCTTCACATGGGAACAGGGTACAGGGTCTGAAGAAACGCTATATTATTGTCAGTTTTGTCATACAGTTTCTTTGGGGAGGAGCTGTTACAAATAGCAACAGAGTTCATACTCTGTATTCATATCTCTAATTAGAGTTAATTCTTGATACAGAGTTGTTTCCTGGGAAGCAAGCACTGGTTTGGGGCTAAGAGTCCTGAAAGAGGGATCTTGCTTACATACCATATGCGACCCCCTCTGTTCAAAGAATGTTGTATATTTTGTAAGTAAACAAGTTGCCTACGAAGATAACCAGACTCCATGCCATTGATTGCTACTCCAACAGAAAATCAACCTCCAAGGCCCTGCCCTCTGGTATTGCTCAGTAGAAGGGAAATATTTTCCAGATGCATGAAGGTTCAACTTCACACCTGAGGGAGACTAAGAAGGGGCTGAAGTAGCTGACAATAATATTACATCTAGGGCAAAATGTTTCCTCTGGGATACTGGCCAGTTCTTTCCACTTTTCATCACGCCTTTCATGAATATGTTGCAGTTCAGGATAACCTTCCAGCAAACACTGCATTAAGAAGCTGTAAACTGATGCAATGACTCAGCAGGAAGGGGGTGGGGGGAGGGGAGAGAGAGAGAAAAAAATAGTGACATCCAGCAAAATCTTTTCCTCAAAGGATATTACTTATAACAAGATACCAACCATCTGCAGATCATGGCACACTTTTTTGTGGTGAGGGTGTTTCCCTATAGCCTCTCCATGAGCACATCATCCCAGTATTTCACTCTGTATTAGCTCCCCACTGAATACAGAGTCCAACTCAAATTCTCTGTCCTGACATTCTCAGCTATCCATGGGATCACTTCGGCTTCCATGACCTTCCACAACAGCTTCCTTCCACCAGAGCAGTGATACTATCAATCCATAGGGCAGGTTCGGGAGGAGACAGAATTTTCACTGGATTTGGACTAAGACTATGGAACAAGATATAAGAATGATCATTGACATCGGCATCCTTAAAACTAAATACAAGCCATTTTCAAAGCACCTAAGTCACTTTGGAAACTAAGGGTATGTCTTCACTAGCAACGTTAAAGCTCTGACATGGCAGTGCTTTAACGTGGTTGTGTAGCTGCGGCACCAGCGCTGGGAGAGAGCTCTCCCAGCGCTGTAAAAAAAACCCACCTCCACGAGGGGAGTAGCTACCAGTGCTGGGAGCACGGCTCCCAGCGCTGGTGCACTGTCTACACTGCCACTTTACAGCGCTGAAACTTGCAGGGCTCGGGGTCGGGGGGGAGAGTTTTTTCACACCCCTGAGCGAGAAAGTTGCAGCACTGTAAAGTGGCAGTGTAGACAAGGCCTTAGTCCCATTTTCAGAAGTGACTAAGGCACTTAAGAATCTAAGTCCCATTGACTTTCAGTGGGCTTCTAAATGAGAATGTTACTTTTCAAAATGGGACTTAAATGTTTTTGAAAGTTTTAATCTAAACTAAAATTTTTACTAATTTTACTCCTGCTAGCTCTGCAGAATCAACCAATGAGCTTGATTCCATTTCTCTTTATGCATCCTCAGCAGAACAGTGTATTAAGCCCAAATCATTTACACCTGACTAATCTCACACACAGTAGGACTGCAAAGGGGCAGCAGAGGGCAAAGTTTTACTTACGGACCATCTTTCAGTGCTTACAATGAATGTCAAGGAAAGAAGCTAGGCTGACTGAGTCCAATTTGAATTGTGAATTACTAAGGCTAGCAGATTAAAACTATATATTATATTATACATACACACACATTATTAAACACATTTGATATGAAAAATATTGAGAGCCAATATGTATAGAACCCACAATGCAATTATCAAGGAATCACTTCTCAGAGTGGAGCAGCACTGTAATGTTGCATTAACACAGTCAGGACCATTGCATACACCATGTCTTATTTTACAAACTGTTATAACACGTAAAAGACTTTACTGTGAAAGTTCATGTTACTCTCCATCTTTTTGGTGTATTTGGGAACCTCCTTCCTTCAGTGGAGATGAAGTTGATATTGCAGGATACAGAGCAGGCTTCTTCAAACACCTTCAGTAGATCTTCTCTAAGCATCGACAACATCATCTGGGACTTAAATACAAATAAATACACATTAAAATATTAAAATTGATTATTATAGAATTGCAATACGGGCACAAAGCTGGTTACAAGAATACTCCAAAAGAAACACGCTGCAGATCTTGCAGTGTGTTTTTGTAAGTGCACTACTGCCCTCCACTGGATGGAATCAGGTCTGTTCCAGTGTTTATAGAAAGAAAAGGAGTACTTGTGGCACCTTAGAGACTAACCAATTTATTTGAGCATAAGCTTTCGTGAGCTACAGCTCACTTCATCGGATGCACGAAAGCTTATGCTCAAATAAATTGGTTAGTCTCTAAGGTGCCACAAGTACTCTTTTTCTTTTTGCGAATACAGACTAACACGGCTGCTACTCTGAAACCAGAGTTTATAGACTGATTCCCTGGCATGTCTAGGGAAGCTACACCTCTAACTTGACAGGCAGAAACCTATGTACTGGAAGTACAAGTTCTCAGATGCCACATGAATGCAACAAGTGGAGGATCATGATTGTTAGTGTATGCTATCATAATCCAGCTATTGATGTTTTGTGGCAATTCCTGCCTTCACAAGCTAATGCAGGAGGATATAAACCAGAATTCAATAACTAGGGCCCTACCAAATTCATGGCCATGAAAAACATGTCACAGACCGTGAAATCTGGTCTCCCCCTGTGAAATCTGGTGTGTGTGTGTGCTTTTACCTTATACTATACAGATTTCATGGGGAGACAAACGTTTCTCAAATTGGGGGTCCTGACACAAGAAGGTGTGGTGGAGGAAGGGGGTTGCAAGGTTATTTTAGGGGGGTGGCGGTATTGCCACCCTTATTTATGCGCTGCCTTCCGAGCTGGGCAGCTGGAGAGCAGCGGCTGTTGGCTGGGCACTCAGCTCTGAAGGCAGCACCGTGCCAGCAGCAGTGCAGAAGTAAGGGTGGCAATATCATATCATTCCACCCATGGGTGGTGGGTATAATAGGCCAGGGGAGGCTTCCGCAGCCTCTGGACCCCCGGTTGTAGGATTTTGGGGGGAAGTTTTTGATTTATTATGCCCCATGCAGTTTCCAGGGTGGCTGAGGAGGTACTCACCTCAGCCGTCCCGGAACCTGCGTGGGGCATAACAAAAGCGTCTTTGGGAGAAAAGGGATGCATGCTTTTCTCCAGGCGGCTTGGAGTCTGGGGAGGGGAAACGCGGTGTGGCTGCAGCTGGCCCGGGACTCTGGGCAGGGGAGCTTGGGGCTGCGGCTGGCTGGGGGCTCCTCTGGGCAGCTGAGGGGCTGTCTCGGGGCTCCGGCCAGCTTGGCAATCCTCCGGCCAAGGAGGGGGGCAGACTTGGAGCTCCTGCTCTGGGGAAAGGGGCAGGCAGAAGGAACGGAGCTGGGGCTAGCCTCCCCAACGGGGGGCTCCATCCACTGCCCATGATGCCACCCTTACTTCTGAGCTGTTGCCTTCAGAGCTGGGCGGCTGGAGAGTGGTGGCAGCTGACTGAGGGCCCAGCTCTGCAGGCAGCAGCAGGTCAAAAAAAAAACCCCACAAAAAACAGGTAACCTATCACAGCCTCTTGGGAATTTTCCAACCATCTGCATCCCCACAGGCCTTGCTCTGAGTCACTTTTAGTGCTAGGTACTTAAAAGTTAAAGCACAAGTCACCGAACCAAGGGTTGAATCCTGGAAGAACAGCCCCTTAGAACCGCTCTCATGCCACACGCACTTCCCGAGCAGCACATTTTCCCTTGTTTAACAAGCCTGTGAAGGCTAAGTAAGAAAAACGGGGACAAAACATTCGACAGAACAAGTAAGTGGATTTCCTGGTTTCCCCAACGTTTGAGTTTTCTAAATTAAACTTTTGGGAATGGCAAAAATCTAGTTTTGGCCTTTTGCAAGGGGGATCCTAACTTAGCATTTCCCAGTTTTCTTAAGTGAGGGGTTTGTGTTTTATTGTAACCCTGACAATATTTTGGAGAGGCCCAGGTGGAGACCTTACCTGACCATTCCTGTTTTCTAACATTCAGTTTGGAACCTCCACACCCTGGATGAAGAGAGGAAGGCAAAAAAGCCAGTTGTGCAGAAACAAACAACTACAGGTTAAGAAAGGTTTTTTTTGTTGTTTGTTTTAAGCAAGAGACTATATGAAGAAGCCACCAGTTACATTTCCTTCCTCCTGTTGTTCTGCTGCTGCTACCTTAGCACCCTGCTGACTGATTGCCGTCCTTGGCTCTTCCTGACACCTTACCCCCCTGAGGATTGCCTCTCCTTGCCCACCTGCCTGCCAGTGCCCTAGCTCTCAACTGTCTGTTTCCTACTAGTGCCCTCTTGCTGATCTGTCCCTCCGTTGCTCACCTTCCAAAAACCCTGTGTTGTCCAACCACCTCGAGCCACGTACCAAAAGGATTATTTCAAAATTTCAAAGAGCCACAGGTAGGAGGGGACGGACAGTTTAAAGTTGCCATTCTCCCCACCCCCCTTCTCACTCTGCCTTAAATTCTTTAGAAATTGAGCAATCTATAACAGCAACTCCCCACTCATGTTCCCCGTGCCAAACTAGATTTTAAGCAGTTGAAGCTGGGTCTGGAAAGTGAAGCAGTGGATAACTTTTTTTAAGAGCCCTGCTTTTGTCCCTTCCAACCCTGATATTCTATAAAATATATATAAAATGGGATTCTATAAAAGGGCTCACTGACTGCAGGAGCACTTCCATATGGCCAGACATGGCATAGCAGCTGTCTCCCCATATGATGTCCCCCCACTAATAGCCACTCCATTCTGCAGTGGTCTCTCTTCCTGCAACTTGGGCTTCCAGCAAGGTCACACTTTAGAGTCCATCCCTTCCAGGACACAGAGAGCCCAACCCAGCTACAGTCCAATAACTTCATAGCAGCTCTTCCCTCTGTCGCTGGGATTTGTGGTCCTTACACCCCTTATCCAGGAGACTTCACCCCACCTCCCACAGTAGCTGGTAGGAGACCTAGGCCCTCCCTCCACTCTGTGTTCCAGCCCAGACACCCTATAGTTAGCGGCTAAGGTCTACTTCTTCAGACTCCTTACTGACTCCCAGACCACTTCCTACCTCTTCTATCCCACAGAGGGCGACTAGATTCTCTTTCCACAGCCAACTTCCAGACTCTATACTTACCATCCAGCTCCCCACCGGGGATTACTAATTAATCCTGGCTGTCTCCCCCCACCCCCCAGGTATGTTAATTGACCTCTCAGACCCACATTAACCCCCTCAGGACCTGTGCGGAATACACATCCAATCACACCATCCTACTGAAACATGCCCAGCTCTGCCTTCTTTCCCCATCCATCCCCTGTGAAACCATCACCTTCACTCACAATTCCTGAAGTAAACTATTTCTTTCCCAGGAACACCCACCCTTGCCTCCCTCCAACCAGCCCTAAGGAACTCAGCCTCCCTCCTTTAACACGATCCCAGCAATCCCAAAAACATAACCTAGCACCCAAATCTCTCCCTTCTTCTCTCCCCAACCGCCATGCTTCTCAGGAAATCCACCCCACCCCTAAAATCCCCGCAAATCAATTAAAGTCAGTGACTAAGGCCCCACAATCTTTCTAAGATCTATTACAGTAGGGGCACTGTCAAGGTTCCTTCCCCACTCTGAACTCTAGGATACAGATGTGGGGACCTGCATGAAAACTTCCTAAGCTTACTTTTACTAGCTTAGGTTAAAACTTCCCCAAGGTACAAACTATTTTACCTTTTGCCCTTGGACTTTATCGCTGCCACCACCAAACGTCTAACCAGTATATTATTGGGAAAGAGTCCGTTTGGAAACATCTTTCCCCCCCAAATCCTCCCAACCCTTATACCCCCTTTCCTAGGGAAGGCTTGATAAAAATCCTCACCAATTTGCATAGGTGAACACAGACCCAAACCCTTGGATCTTAAGAACAATGAAAAAGCAATCAGATTCTTAAAAGAAAAATTTTAATAGAAGAAAAAGTAAAAAGAATCACCTCTGTAAAATCAGGATGGTAAATACCTTACAGGGTAATTAGATTCAAAACATAGAGAATCCCTCTAGGCAAAACTTTAAGTTACAAAAAGACACAAAAACAGGAATCTACATTCCATTCAGCACAGCTTATTTTATTTTCTCAGCCATTTAAAGGAATCAGAATCTAACGCATATCTAGCTAGATTACTTACTAAGTTCTAAGACTCCATTCCTGTTCTGTCCTGAGCAAAAGCATCACACAGACAGAGAGAGAGGCTTTGTTTCTCCCTCCCCCCAGCTTTTGAAAGGTTTCAGATGCATCCGACGAAGCGAGCTGTAGCTCACAAAAGCTCATGCTCAAATAAATTGGTTAGTCTCTAAGGTGCCACAAGTACTCCTTTTCTTGTTGCAGCTTTTGAAAGTATCTTGTCTCCTCATTGGTCGTTTTGGTGAGGTGCCAGCGAGGTTATCCTAGCTTCTTAACCTTTTACAGGTGAAAGGGTTTTTCCTCTGGCCAGGAGGGATTTTAAAGAGGTTTACCCGTCCCTTTATATTTATGACAGGCACTCTATGTGTTTTTGTAGGGTTCCTGCCACCACTCATTCTCTCTCCTGGATGCCCCAGCGCCTCCTATATCAGCTGCTGTATGGTTGGTTGGCCCCCAATCCCCTCCCAATCTTGAGAAGGTTACATGGCTCCAACCCTCTGCTTTCTCTGTTCTTAAAGGAGCAGGAGCTCAGAGGCTGCTTTGCTCTTCACTCATCCCTTCCTGAAAAATAGTTTGCAGGGAACACATTTTCAGTTATGAAGAAAAATATATTTTATTACTAACACGCTCGTTCTCAAGGCCAATTCTTAGGAGTCCCAAGGGCCTCAGGCTGACCACCCCTTCTCAATCCAGTCCCTATGCTTCCTGCCATCTGCTGGCCATTTATCTTTGCGACCTGCCTCTACAACCTTCCCCTATTCCCTACCCACCATTGTCCTAACCTCCTGCTGCTTATGGTTGCCTCTTGACCCCTCTCTCCTTACCTCCTGTCCTGCCCCCCTTCTGCCTGCCTTTTGCTGCCCAGGACTGTCCTGTACCCTTGCCACCTTTTCACCTCCAATTACTATGTTATGGTCCTCCAGCTGTCCCGCCCAGACTTTATTTGCAATTCTTCTATTTTATTCAGGAATGCAAGAAAGGACTAGAAAATGACCCTCCTGGAACAATCTGTCTTGACAGAAAGGTGTGGTTTCCTTCCTATCCATGTTAAATTGTTAAAGAAAATGAGGTTCTAAGTTTTTAATTAATTTTGGGGAGAGAGAATGTGACATTTAATTACATTTACATTTCAAAGTGGGTTTTCCTTTAATCTACTTACTTGTACTTACTGCTCTCGTGTATTTTAGACAAGGAATTTCAGAGGGCATTGAAGCCATGACAGCTTGCATAGTTTCCAAACCTCTGGTTTTTGCTCAGGGTCCTCAATTCCTTTGTATAGGAGGATTGCTCATTTTTTAAAATAACACCTGTAGCTTGCCTTACTGGTGCTGGAGGAGTACATGTGAACTTTTGTGTCTCCATGGTGTCAGGTGTCACTTCCAAATCTCTCAGTAGAAGCTGGGTTTCAGTGAGAAAACACCCCTTTCTTTCCCTGTACTTACCTGTCTTTTCTTTCATAAAACTTTCCCCAATTCCATCAGAGAACACTAGCCTCACTTCAGGTGTATTTATACCAAAATGTTACTGGAACCTCCTAGAGTGCTTCAGTGAACAATATTCTGCATTTCTATCCAAGGATAGAAGGATCAAGGCTCTCAAAGTGAATTTGACCTCACAACACCTCTGTAAAGTGGATATTACTGTCCGCATTTCACAAGGTCAAAACGGACATTGAGTGTAAGTGACTGGCACAAGGTAACACAGCAAGTCAGCAGAAGAGCATTGAATAGAACTCAATTCTCCCCCTAAAGCCCCAATTTAAATTCCTCACGCAGTTGAATAAACTACCAGATGAAAAGGAATTTGAGGCACAAACCTGACTTACAATAAAAGACTAACATAACTTTTAACATTAATAAACTATATACAGTGTATACGTTTTGAGGGAGTCCTTGTGGAACAAATCATAGCTTGAGGCTGTGGGAACTGCTGAGTTCTCTGGGGCCTAAGAGGAGGGACTTACTGTTGATCTCTAACAGCAAGATTAACTGCTGGTAAACAAGATAATCTAACAGTCGTAATGTACATGACACACTGGGTAGGTTCTTGCCAATGGAATTACAGTAGAATTTGTTTCAGAGTAGCAGCCATCTTAGTCTGTATCTGCAAAAAGAACAGGAGTACTTGTGGCACCTTAGAGACTAACCAATTTATTGGAGCATAAACTTTCGTGGGCTACATGCATCTGATGAAGTAGCCCACGAAAGCTTATGCTCAAATAAATTTGTTAGTCTCTAAGGTGCTGTAAGTACTCCTTTTCTTTTTAGTAGAATTTGCATCTCTCAGATGGCTTTTATATGCTTAGTTGCTAGGTCTTCTTACATATTTTGAGCTGCTCTCTTTCCTTATAAAATAGGCAAACCACACCAATACCTAGGTATCACATGTTGTTTATTACACAACATTGTACTTATAAAAACACTAAACGCATGTTAAACTATTTATGCATATTATACTGCTCATAAATATTTGCTATTGTGGCACCCAGTCCCAGAAGCAGGAATGTTCAGTGTAAACAAAAAACACTGTAGAAGTGAAGTTGTTCTACTAATTCAGTTTCTCCTTTGAACTTAAGCTAGCAAACCTACAAAACAGCGGTATGCGTGTGCCTACAGGAGGCCATTAATACCCCGTAGCAAGCCCACATCCAAACCCTGATCCGAACCTCCGGGGAGTGGTGGGTCGGGGACAAGCGGCAGGAGCTCAGACTCCTGACCGGCTGGCAGCCAGGGACCTCGGGCTAGTCCAATCCGGGCGGAGGGCGAGGAGCGGCTGGAACTTCTCATCGCCACCTCAGCGGCTGCCGCATCTGTTGAGCAGCCCGGGGGAAACGAGCCGGGGAATCAGTTACCCAGGGGCAGGTACCCACAAAACCGGCCCTAACCGCACAGCCGGTGCGGCCGGGCCACCTCCGCCGAGAGCAGACAAACGAGCGGGCCCCGGAGACCCGGCCCCGGCTGCGGTGGAGCCGCAAGTCGGGCCGGCGGCGCGACAAGCAGTCACAGGCGATGTCACCGGCACCTCCCCCAACCATTACCACTACGCACGCGCAGCCCAGAATCCCCAACCCGTTCCCGCGTACACCTGCCCGATGCAGCCCGCGGCGTTCTTCTACCGTCAGACCGTCACGTGACATGACACGATCCCCCCCCCCGCCGCCACGCCTCAGCGACTGATCACCTGAGGCCTGACCCTTTGCTCTCCTGGCAGGGCGAACAGTATGTCATATGATAGATACTGTTGAGAACCAATCAGAAGCCTACAACAAGAGACAGTTGAACCAGTGAGCGGGCTGGGAGCGGCAAGGAGGCGGGACCGAGTCGAGGAGGCGGGGCCGTTTTCACGTGTGGCGACCGAGAGCGGTAGGCCCAAAGAGGTGAGTTTCTGACGGGCGGGAGCCGGGCTCCCCCCACCCCGTGCGGGCCTCGCTCCTGCATGATTCCGCCGGGCAGCGAGCCCTGGGGCCGTGGGTGGGGACCCCGGGCAGGGGGCACGTGGTCAGGGCCCTGACTCCTCTGGGGCTACTGGCGGGGGTGGGGGCAGTCTCAGTTCAGCAGGGACCTGGTCCTCAGCATGAAGGTACAGGAGGGAGATTCTCAGAAGCAGGTTGGTGAAGAGCAGATAAAAAAGCACAGCCCGTCACCTGGCTGCTCTGTGTTCAGGAAATCCAGCAAGCACTGTAGCCTGACTCATGTTATTGGGCATGGGGCGGTGGGGGGAGTTGTTCATGAAACCCTGTAGTGACCATTTTGTTGTCCATGCATCACCCAGCATAATGGGACACCGCTCCTGATTTTGAATTGCTGGGTGTTATGTGTATTGTTACTGTGATGTAAATGTCATCTCTGTCATCATGCTGCAAGAGTAAAATACTCAAAAACCAGGTATTATATTCGTGTAGATAACCAGAATTTAAATTTAAAAAAATATTCAGTACAACCCAAGCTTGACAAATAGGTCATCCAAAAGTTAACTAAAACTCAGGCAAATAAGTCGTTTTTGTAAAACTGATATTTTTTCTCCCATCAATCTGATATCTTAATTGCTTACAGAAAGAGACTTGACACCCAAAAAAGTGTGTGATGTTATAATCTAAAGCATTGCACTTAACTCACCCCAGTTTTTACTTTGGCAGGGAAGAATATTATTGCTGCCATCATATTGTCTCCATAGAGCCAAATTCAGCCCTGATGTTAGCAAGCGTATTTCCATTGATTTACAGTTTTTTACACCAGGCTTGAATTTGGGCCATAAAAATTCTAGGTACCTGGGCATTCATACATAAACATACATAGAAATTAGAGGAAAACATATATTACGTCATTATATTGCTCTCCTATGGGCCAAATAAGGATTATTGCATACTATATTGTCTCCAGTATTTAGTCCAATCTCATTTTTAAATTATTCAAGCTGTTGTTCTTTCTCTACTTATATTACAAGTATGTGGCCTTTGTATTCTCTCTGTGTTCATCCTAAAATAAGTTTCTTCCTTCACTTCACTGTCTCTTTTGTTTTGACCAGCAGTGGGTCAAGACAAATTTGAAATATGAGGAAAATGATGTATTAAGAGAATACCCTGTGTGTTGAAACCTTCCAGACAATTGGAATGGAAATTCTGATTGTATATGTATCTGTGTGTTTTAGTGACGGGCATGAAGAGAAACAATTGGAGAAGTAAAGAAAAGGAGGGGTGGAGCAGTCGCAGACAAACCTACCATCCCAACCACTACAGAAGACACAACCACTGTAGCTTTACTGAAAGGCAAGTGTACACAGTTTAATACTTTAGCTGTAGATTTTAAGACCTTTCACAAAGGTAGTTTGGGGGAAGGAAGGTTGGGGGCTTGGGGTTTTTTTTGTTTGTTTTTGTTTTTTTGTATTTCTTAATTTGTTTTGTTAATGTTTACTGTAAAATAGGTACATATTATTTCTCATTTTTTACAGATTGGGAAACTGAGATAAAGTTTATAGGGATTCTGTTATCTTGAGATCTAGCCCATTTTTTACAATAAAAAGTAGTTTACATATTACACCTGCCTTTGTGAGTCTTTCTGATAATTTTTTGTGGCATTAAATTTTTTTCTCTCCCCTGTTGCTATGAGATACTCACACAAATAGTAGGGGAAACTGACTAAGGCTTTAATTCTGAAAACATTGTGGACCATTGATTCTATTGGGACTACTCACATAGAAAGTTATACATGTGTTTAAGTGTTTGCAGGATTTGGACCCTCACTCCGACTATATGGGGGAAACAGGTTTAAAAAAGGCTTTCAGATTGAAGTGATTTTTTGTATGTTAATTGTTGTCCTTTAAGTAACTAGTTCAATCCCACACAGAAAGCCAGTGCGTGGAGCCAGGATTAGAACTAAGAAGTTCCTTGCTCCTAATCCTGTTCTCAGAACACTAAATTGTGCAGCCTCTAAACCAACTTGACCTACTGCTTTCAGAATGACAGGATATAAGATCCATTACAGAGCTTAGTATGAACAGAAACACTGAGAATTAGTAACACATTATGCATATAATTTTAAATAGAATCTTAAGAAAATAACCCAGGGAAATTCAACCTAAAGTATGGACCTCCTCAACTTAAAATAGCTTACTTCTGTTTTTAAAGTCTTATACCTACTGTTATTGCAAGAAATAGCTAAGCTCACTGTAATTGAAATAAAGAAGTAATTTTCTCTGATCTCTTCAGTTTGTTTACTTTGTGCATGTCAAAACACTTTGGGTGAAATCCTGGCCCCATTGAAGACAGAACTCACACTGACTTCAGCAGGACCAGGGTTTCACCCATGGTGTCAGTTTCACTGTAGAGACAGTGTTTTCCCCTGTTATTTGTGTGGATCTTTTACATAACAACATGGAGGCAGGAAGAGAGCAAATCACAAAAATTGACAAGAAAATTCAGGGCAGTTGTACTAAAAAAGCCCATTAAAAGTAGTTTCAGGTAAAATTGACTAGATTTTAAGATGATGGTGACCTTTTAATGTTTATACAGTACCTTGAAGATGAAAATGAAATATTACTATTTTCACATTGTATGTTCATTCTGTGTACATATGCTGTGTATACAAAATGTACTTAACAGCCTTGCCAAATTCTACTCAACTAGGGAAAATCATTGTTTTTAGCAAAGCAAAATAGCTTTTTCATTAGAATAATCTTCATAGAAAAGGTGTGTGAGGAGATCTTGCGTCTGGGCTAATTAATTTTCAAGACAGTTTTGCAAGCTGAACATAACAGTGCATTATTGTTAGGTGTGAACAAGAGGAACCATGGAGCTCACTGAATGCAGACACCAGCAACAGTGGATCCTCTTCCGAAGTATGTCATAGCTCTCCAGTGCCTGGTAAGGGACCATTGTGTTCAGGGGCCAAAAATCAGCACCTGAATATTGGGTGCATGAAGACAGACGATCCTGTCATAGTTTACTTCGCCTCTCTAATATCCATAGCCATCTTTGGCAGAGATCTTCTAAAAGTTATGTTATTGAAAGAGTTATGTTAAATAGACAAAGAAAATACAACAATACAACACCTCCCTGTAGGATGGGAGGATCCCAGAGCTCGGGCTCCAATCTGAGCCCAGAAGTCTACACAGCAATGAAACAGCCCTACAGCCAAAGCCCCGTGAGCCCAAGTCGGCTGGCACGGGCCAGCTGCGGGTTTTTCTTTGCTGTGTAGACGTACCCTGAGTGAGCTAGCCCAGTCCACAATTGAAATGTCTCGTGGATTGTAGGTATCTAAGCGTTTGATTTGGGAAGTGTAATTAGGGAAGGGTGTTTGTCCTGGGGAAGGGGATTGCTGCTTTTATGTTTGGTCAATGATCAGTTGTCCATTGTTCTTGGTGTTTGGGATATCCTAAAAAAAATTTTTTTGTCAGCAGTGTGACTCATTTATGTTCAAGAAGAATGGCCATGTCTTTGTTCTGGAGCACCTTTCCCTGTGTTTCCCCATTTCTATTTGCTGAATTTAATCTCCATTACTGCTGATCTCCCTCTCCATATCCCTGTAATGACATTTCTTCTGCAGATAGTAGGAGCATGGTCTGGCTTTTGCTGAGGTGGCCATTAATGTAATCAATACCTCTCCCCATTTGTCACCTGCCAGTCTGGAAGCAGAAGTTTCCATGTTCTTTTTGACTTGGAATCCCCAAAGTGACGGTCTCTTGGCTGCTACTCTGGAATTGGGTGAGGTCAAAGGACAATAGAAAAAGTTTGTTCTCAATCTGATTTTGTTTGGTAAATACTCTTTATAGAACTACCAGGATTTTACTATGACCCTGAAAAGAACCGCTATTTCCGACTGCTCCCTGGGCATAATAACTACAACCCTCTCACCAAAGAGAGCCTCCAGTACAAGGAGATGGAGTGCAAGAGACTGAAGCTGTTAGAAGAGGAGGAAAAGCAAAAGAAGGTGGGTCCTGTCTCTGAAATGTCATTTAAACTTTACTGTGCTGTGACCCAAGACACCAGGATGGGCTACAGGTTATAAAACCCTCCAGTTTCAACTTTGGTATAATCGCCTCTAATGCTTGCTGTTCAAGGTCAAATGTTCAAACATTTGTCCATACCCCCAACAAAAGCTATGTTAAGATGGAGTTACGGTTGAGACTACATAATGAGTAATTTAGGGTAAAATACAGTACAGGGATGAGGTAATTATCTCAAAACCAAGTATGATAAAGTCAGGAAATTCACAGTTAAGGTTAAGCTTAAAACCTTAATTCTTCCCTGTCACAGAGTCTTCAAACAGTTCACTGATAAAACTCACTAAAACCTCATGCCTATGCATTTTTTTTTTAAAGGATTAATAGTCATTTTTTCCAGTTGTTGTAGAATTCTTTATAGTAGAACATTGTGTCCTTTAGCATCTGCTGAAAAAAACTTCTATGAAGAATAACAAGAAAAATGATGATTAATCCTTAACACTTATTCAGATGTAGCTTGGGGACAAGATTTTAGTAAGTTATGGGAAGTTTGATGTTTCTATGGTGTCCTGTTACTGAGATCATGGGGCAAAAAAAAAAAAAATCTGACACAAGGTGCGAAACTTCTTAAAGAGCCCATTTTTAGTTTAATTTTAATTCTTTAACTGATTCATTTTTAAGTTTTCAGAACAAATGAATTCTCTGAGAGAGAGTAAATACTATCATTTG